ATGTATGGATATTTATATAGTACAACGACTTTTAGCTCTAACTGTTTTTGAGTTGGGACGCATGGGGATGAGCGTTGGAGGCGGGCAGTTGGGTGACGAACGTCCATGATTTTGTCCGAAGTGATATGGGTTGGTAGTTCTATGGAGAACTGTTGCAACGCAGAGCTGGCGTGGCCAAAAGCGAAAGGAGTTGGCAACTCTAGAGGGAGTTGTTGCAACGTTAGATTATGCTCTGGCCGAAGAGCTATAGGTTGGCAATTCTTTGGAGAGCTGTTGCAAAGTGAAGTTGGTGTGGCCGAAGCGAAAGGAGATGGCAACTCTAGAGGGAGTTGTTGCAACATTAGACTCTGCTTTGGCCAAAGTAATATGGGTTGGTAACTCTTTGGAGAGCTGTTGCAACGCGAACTTGGCATGGACGAAGTGAAAGGTGTTGACAACTCTAGAGGGAGTAGTTGCAACATTAGATTATGTTTTGGCCGAAGTGGCATGGGTTGGATGCTCTTTGGAGAGCTGTTGCAACGTGAAGCTGGCGTGGTCGAAGTGAAAGGAGTTGGCAACTCTAGAGGGAGTTGTTGCAACGTTAGATTCTGTTCTGGCCGAAGTGATATGGGCTAGCAACTCTTTGGAGAGCTGTTGCGAAGCGAAGTTGGCGTGGCCGAAGCGAAAGGAGTTGACAACTCTAGAAGGAGTTGTTGCAACATTAGATTCTGCTCTGACCGAAGTGAAATGGGTGGCAACTCTTTGGAGAGTTGTTGCAATACAAAGCGGCATGGCCGAAGCGAAAGGAGTTGGCAACTCTAGAGGGAGTTGTTGCAACGTTAGATCCTGCTCTGGCTGAAGTGATATGGGCTGTCAACTCTTTGGAGAGCTGTTGCAACGCAATGCTAGTGTGCCAAAGCGAAAGGAGTTGGAAACTCTAGCGGGAGTTGTTGCAACGTTAGATTCCACTCTGGACTAAGTGGCATGAGCTGGCAACTTTTTGGAGAGCTATTGCAATGCGAAGCTGGTGTGGCCGAAGCGAAAGGAGTTGGCAACTCTAGAGGGAGTTGTTGCAACATTAGATTCTGCTATGGCCGAAGTGATATGGGTTGACAACTCTTTGGGAAGCTGTTGCAATACGAAGCGGCGTGGCCAAAGCGAAAGGAGTGGGCAACTCTTGAGGGAGTTGTTGCAACATTGGATTCTGCTCTGGCCGAAGTGGCATGGGTCGACAACTCTTTGGAGAGCTGTTGCAACGCAAAGCTAGATTGGCCAAACCAAAAGGAACTGGCAACTCTAAAGGGAGTTGTTTAAACATTAGATTCTGCTCTGGCCGAAGTGGCATAGGTTGACAACT